TAATTATTGGCTTCCTTTTCATAGAAATATTTTGTCATGTGTACTACAACTTAAACAATCTAAGAGTCATGCTTTCCCAAGAAAAAAGGTGTCATTTTATGTAATTACAAAATTTGGCTTTCTCTCATACTTTTTATTTCCATCTTAGCACTGCTAGGGGAAAAGCAGTTTGTTTTAGGATTGTTTTTGAGCATATCCTGATAATTTTATTTGGATTTATGGAGGTTTTAAGTAGAACTGAAAAGAACCCAGAAATAAATCAGATTTCTGTGCTCCTCCTCTTGTATACTCCTTCTCCAACTAGCCTCAGCTGCCAGCCCTGTACCCTGGAATCTTCCTCCTATGATACTGCTCAAATCCACACTTTGTTTTTACAATCATTATTTCTAAAACTAAAGGCAATTATACCCACTTTCTTCATTAAAATTACTAAATATTCTCTAGTTTATTCAGACAGTATTGAGTACCTACTTTATGTCAACCATTATTTTCTAGCTAGTTGGGATACATCAGGCAATACATTAAAGAAGATAATAAATATATGGTTTTTGACTGATTAAATGTGGATGTAAAAGACTATGAAGAGTTGAGGATGATTCTAAGATTTTTGGAGTAAGCAACTGGAAAGTTGAAGTCGCCATCAACCAAGATAGGAAAGTTGCAAGTAGAGCAGAGCTTTGTTGGGGATGGGGGTTATGTGAATAAAGGAAGAGAACTAGAACAAAGGAAGAGAATTTACTGAGTCAAGTGGATATCCAAATGGAGATGTCAACTAGGCAGTGGGTCCATGAGTGTGGAAGCAGATAAGAGTTGGCTTTCAGGTGCTATTTAAAGCACATGACTAGATGTGCTCACCATAGAGTGAATGAGTTAGAGCAGAAGACCAAAAACTAAGCCCCAAACACCACAAAATCTGGGACCAGGGCCTCCCTGGTAGCCTAGGGGTTAAGTCTCAGTGCTATCACCACTACGGCCTGAGTTTGATCCCAGGCCAGGGAGCTGACCCACATGGCACAGCAGACCTCTCCTGTCTCACCCGCTGCTCCCCTCAGCAGTGTATTTCAATAGATCTGACTGTTCTGCTACCCACTCTGTCTCTGGTGAATCCTCTTAGCCCCTGCATCTCTGGCCTATACCCCAGTTCTTCTACCAAAGGAAAATATCTGGGGCCAAAGAGAGAAACAGCAAAGAAATTGAAAAAGAAACAGCAAAGGAAGTAGGAGGAAAGCCTCAATGCTGTGGCATCCTGAAGGCCACAAATGGAGTGTGGTGGAAGATTGTGGGTGTTTTGGTGGTGGCTGTGGTGTTGTAATAAACATTGAAAATGTATAAACCTGTGCCCCCAAATCATATAGAATGTTGTAAACTACTGTTACCTCAAAAATAATATAATTTTTAAAAATCAAATCATGAAAATGCTGCTGATAGAGCAAATAAAGTGGTGGCTAACACCAATCATTTGACTTAACAATGTAGAGGATTAATATATGTGGGTTTCTGCACAGAGAAAGAAATTATCAGTAGCATGAGAAGACACCACACTGAGTGGGAGAAAATAATTGCATGTCATACATCAGATCAAATATTAACATCTAAGATCTACAAACAATTCAACAATAAGAAAGGCAGAAGAGCTAAATAGACACTTCTCCAGAGAAGACACAAATGGCCAACATACACATGAAAAAAAATGTTCATCGGCACTGATCATCAGGGACATGCAAATCAAAACCGTAAGAGAGCCCCTCACACCGTGAGACTGGCTCATATTAAAAAGACCAGAAAGAGCAAATGTTGGTAAGGGTAGAGAGTAAAAGAAACCCTCTTTCATTTTGTTGGCAGGAATATGGACTAGTCCAATCCCTATGGAAAAGAGTATGGAGTTTTTCTAAATATATTAAAAATAGATCTACCATATGATCCAGCAATTCCATTCCTAGATATCTGCCCGAAGAATTCTAAAACATTCATTCTTAGGAATAGAGCCACTCTATTAGAGCCACATGTTCATTGCAACACTGTTTACAATAGCCAAGTTATAGAAACAACATAAGTGCCCAGAGATATGTTAGAATATTATTCTTTAAAAATATGATTTTTTTTCCCATTGGCAACAACATGCATGAAACTGGAGGGTATTATGCTAAATGAAATAAGTCAGAAGAAGAAAAATAAATACTGGTTGATTTTACTCACATGTAAAATAAAGAAACAAAGTAAAGGAAGAGAGAAAAAATACAGAGCAGACCCTAGAAATCTGACTGTAGAACTGCGGCTACCAGAGTGGGGGTCAGGGTGGAAAGCAAAGGGGAGTGGGGACCCATTGAACATGATGGTGAAGGGTTATTGGTGCTTTGGTGGTGAGTGTGGCGTCAAGAGGTATGGACCTAAGCCCATAATATATATAGTGTTGTAAACCAGTGTTACCCCAATAAAATAGAGGACTAAACATTCAAAATAACAATCTCAAGATGGTAAGATAAATAGCAAAAATATTTCAAAGGATGGCCTCCACTTCTTATGGCATTTGCATGTTCTGCTTAGGGAAATGGAGAGTCCAGGAGACGTATGAGCTGCTCCTGTTGCGCACAGGTAGATAATTGTCAGGAGAAGTGCTTGTTCTTTGCCGGGGCAGCTCCCTGTTTCCTCGAATGATGGTTTTACTCAGAGGTCTCTTAAAACACAGATGTGTCAACAGCTCCTGGACAAATTCAGAGCACTGTTACTGAAGGGCTGAAGCAGCATTTTGAATTCGGTTAATGATGCAATGTATAAAGATGAATTAATGCATCGGTTACCTTTCTTTTCTCAGAAACATGATTCCTGTGACAGAATTTCGGCAGTTCTCTGAGCAGCAGCCTGCCTTCCGGGTGCTGAAACCGTGGTGGGATGTGTTCACCGACTACCTGTCCGTGGCCATGCTGATGATCGGTGTGTTTGGATGTACTTTACAGGTAGGTGCCAGGACGGTCAGAGTGGGAGTCAGAGGAACTAGGTGTGCGATTTTGAGCCATGTAAATGTGAGTTGCTCTTCTCTGCTTGTGTATGGTATTTGTAAGCATGGCAGGGAGCCCAAACACTTATTTAGAGCCCAAACTGCACTTGACTATGGTTAAGTAATTTTTGATGTCATTAATATCAGAGTCCCTTATCTTTCAAAGTTGGCTTTATTTTTTTTTAAATCTTTTTTTTTAAGATTTATTTATTAAAAAAAAGATTTATTTATTTATTTATTTATTTATTTATTTATTTATTTATTTATACAAGCACTGGGTACAGTCAGAAGCACGGGAGGTTGAGAATTCACCAGAGCCAGAGCGGGGAGCAAAACAGGCAGACCGACAAAATACACTGCTGAGGGGAGCAGCGGGCATGGCAGGAGAGGTCTGCCCCCCATGTGGGCCCTTCGCTGGTGGCCGGGGATCGAACCGGTGCTGCAGAGGCTGCGGGCAGCTTCGCAACCCAGCACTCGACCGCTGCACCACCAGGGAGACCCTCAAAGTTGGCTTTAGAGTAAGATATAGCATCTGTATCCACAGTGCCATTTATATTCAAAAATAGAACTTTTTTCTTTTCTTCACCAACTATACTTACCCCTGGTAAGGTTTTCTGGAAGAACTAATGTTTTCGTAAAATATTATTTTACCCAATGATTAGTTCTGTATTAAAATGTAACCCAAGCAAAATTTACTCAATATAGATGCATGTACTCTTATATTGAGTCCAGACATCTTTTCAGGCCTACTGCATGCCAGGCACTATACTTTGATGACATAGTTACCTGTAAGTAGTTTGTTTCTAAGGGAAAACTAAATAAACCTGCATTAAGAAATGTTTGTGTTATGCTAGGATAAAGACATAGTAGGTACAGAAGAGCACTCAGCTTGGGAACAAGAGAAAAATTGATAGTTGAATTAAAAGTTGGAGAACCAGGTAAGTGAGTCTGGGAGTAGGAATTTGGAGTTGAAGAGGAAAGAGATAAGAAGGATCAAAATCATAGAAGTGAGAAAGAACAGGTTATCTTTGGGGAACTGTCAGTCGGACTGACACCCCTTGGGTGTCATTGAAGACAGGAAAAGGTGGTGAATGAGATGGTAGCAGGAAAAACATTCAAGAATAAAGCAGGAAGCAGGGGGCACCTCTAAAAAAGACTGAGAAGGGCCAGCGATAAGGACAGGCCGGAATCAGAAGGAGGCAGGAATATCTCAGAAGCCAGGGGAGAAATGGTCAGTGATGGTAAGTGGTGCAAGTTACAGATGACAGGGAGAAAAGCAGCAACTAGATTGTTAGAAATCTAATTTCCAGTGGTTGGAAAAGTGAATGAAAGTTACAGTAAAGGCTGTGGGGTTGATGCAGCTTTCAAGTAGATCAGCTGTGAGGAGGGGGAGCTGGGAAGAGACAGAAATAGCTAGACGTGGTGCAGGTTAAAATTAAGCCTTTTTAAAGCTGATTTTAATAATTGTTACTGCATAGCGCTTCTTGTGTGTCAAGCACTTTTTCTGAACACTTTATAGAAGTTTTAATCCATGTCATCCTCATGGTAACCCACTTGTGTCAGTGGCAGAGCACTGATTGAAACCCCAGCAGTTTGACTCCAAAGTCCCTCTCTTTTATTTGCAGGGTAAAAATGTTTTGACCATCCCTCCCCCAAAAAGGTTGCCAATGAAAAAGCAGAGTTTGAGAGAGAAGCAGCATAAATTCATTCCCAAATAAAACAAAGAGTTATTAAGAAACCATCTGTTACCATACACTGTTTCAGATGACAGGTATACAACACTAGGGGAATTGACATGCCAGCCTTGGAAGCCTTTATTCTATGGGAATAAAACAAGCAAAAGTCAATTATATATATCAGAAGGTAGTAAAGTGGTAGAAAAGAAAGCCTATGAGGACGGTCGGAGGTTCTAGCAGCTGAGATGAGTTTTCAGCATTCCCAGCTTCCTCAGGGAAGGTGGCTTTTGACAAAGGAATTGAAGGAGGTGCTGGAACAGGCCATACAAATGTTCTACCAGCAATCCAGACATAGGGAAGAGCGAGATCAAGAGACATGTGTACAGAGTGTTAACAGAATCCTTCCTCTCTGTAGGAGACTCTGACTTTCTCAACCTTCTAGCTCAGTGTCCCTGGAGACCTGAGACAGAATGGTAACCATGTCACTAGGCAGCACTGCATGTGGTACAAGTGACTGCTGACTGCTCCACTGCATCTGAGCTGGGAGGACTAGAAATGCCTGCAGGAAGCCATACCATGGCCTTCCATGACTGAGGTGACACTTGTAACTGGGCATGTCCCTCAGATGTGGAAGATGTATCTATTGAGTTGCAGAGATATTGACACCTCTGGAGAATAATAAGACTTTTAGGTTAAGGTGACTCCAGAACCTAGCTACAGAGGATCTCTTTTCTTTGCAGCTGAGAAGCTATGGGCAGGAGAGGCTCAGGGACTAGCTCCTGGGCAGCAGTGAGGACCACTGCTGGACAGTGGGGAAGATTCCCCCAGAGTGGCTTTCTGCCTTGCTAATGACCTGTGACTCCAATCCTGTAGCTAAGTGATTCTGGTGCCCAGTGAGGTTGAGGATATCTTATGTCTGCATGTTGAGCTGAACCTAGAAAGACCTTTGGTGATGTTATAGGCTTGAAGAAGGGGTATCCTGGCCTGTTCAAGTAAAAGCCAGAAGGCCAGTGTGCTGGAGCAGACTGGGTGAGAAGAGGGTTGATGAATGAGGCCCAAAGGGCAACACATGCCAAGTCAGGTAAGCCTTGTAGACCACTGTACAGATTTTGACTTTGCTCTGAGTGAGATAGAACATATTTGAAGTATTTTAAGGGTTGTCATTACATGACTGATATTTTAACAAGACACTGTTGAGAATATAGTGTAGGGACAGGATGGAAGCAGGGGTTTATTTAGCAGGCTAATGCAATAGTCCACGCAAGACATGAGTCAGATGGCTTGAAACAGGGCTGAAGCAATGGTGGGTGTGGGTGTGTGAGGGTGTGTGTGTGTGTATGTACATATATATATATTTATATATATATAAGTAAAACACTAAGATTTGCTGAGAGTTTGAATGTAGTGGAGAAAAAAAAGAAATCAAGAATGACTCTTAAGATTGTTAGGCCTGAGCAACTAGAAAAGTTTGTTTTTGAGCATGGTAAGTTAGAATCTGTTAGAGATCCAAGTAGAAATACTAAGTAAGGCAGGATCCTTTCCAACTCAGAAGTTTAGGGTCAGAGAGGGGTGGCCATCTTCCAGGGGGAAGGATTACCCTTGACTTGGGTACCTTCTATCATAATGGGAGTCATGGCCGCAGAGGCATCTTATGGAGGGGAGGGGGCAGAAAGATTGGAGTTTATGCCTTATGGTTTCTGTGAAGTTGAAGAGACACCAGCTGCAAGAGTGAGAGGGAAGAATGATCACAGGATGTGACAACAGGGAAGGTAGTGACTATTAGGAATCTTGGGGAGAAGGTAAAAAATTTGGAATGACCAGTTTGGGAAATAGGGGAAGAAGGTGACATACATCAGCAGGAGGTCTAGACATCTTTATAACTGTGCTGGTTACCTAGCACTGCCACAAGATGTGGTTCACCAGCCCAGGAATGCTTTCTCGTGTTTAACTTACTGCAGGAGGATGAAATGCAGAAAAAAAGAGAGCACACAGAAAATCTATAAGAACTAGTAACTAATTTGGAGCAAAATGATTGTAAACAAGAGCGTATACCTAGAAAATAAAATAAACATCCTTTGGGAGAGGTGTGCACAGTGAGTTCAAGAGGAGATTCAAGCACAACTTAAGCATCTTTTCCTGTACGTGGTGAGGAGCACCTTCCAGGCCACAGCTCCCATCGTATATCTGCTATAGAGAAGCTCTTGATCCCTCCCTCAACCCCCACCTACCACCCAGCCCAGCACCATGGCACTACCTGCCACCGTCAGTGCCCACTTCTCAGACAGGAGACCTAACCCTGGCCCTCTACACACAGGCTTGTTTCATGCTTACAGCTTGTAAAAAGAAAGTGGATGCAGGTTGACAGCAAGTGTAATCTGAGGTGTCAAGGTTCTACAAAAAGTGAGATGCCCCAAAGGAAGTTTGCATTGGAATCTGGGGGCTACTAGGCTCAGAACTCAATAGCGTGGACCATCCTGTCAAACATCCCTGAGTACCAGGGACTTATCAGGCAGTGCTAGATACTGAAATACCGTTCTCAGCTATTAAAAGAGATGATGTGCCTTTTTGAGACAAAATAACTGAGTCTTCAGATGATGATGCTAAGAGAAATAAGACAGAAAGTGAAAGACAGTTGCCTGATGGCCTCACTCACTGTGGAATATAAATAACCAAGACAACAAATTAGAAAAACAACAAGAATAATTCTTAGACTCTGAAAAATATACTTGCAACCAGAAGGGATGGGGTTGGGAAGGGAGGGGTGACTAGGGGAGGGGGGTTGGGTTGTGGCACCAGAGAGTTGGAGGGGAATGAAGGACCTACAGATATGGAGGTGTGAATTGTACACCCAAAATTATAGTTATATAAATTAGCGGCAAATCAATAATTAAAAAAAAAAAAAAACAAGAGAGAAATACCATGCAGTCCTGCCCTCATGTTGTTAATAGTCTGAAGACCACAGAAGTACAAAAGCAACATCATTTACTGAGTCAGTGTCTGAATGGTGTAAACTTCGAGAATTTTAAATGATCTCAACTACTAAAAATTAGGAACTAAAGGAGGTGATAACTGAGCCAAGATTTTCAAAGAATAAGTCTACACAATCAAAGATATTTTTGGAAAGAGGAATGAAAGAAAAAATCAGCATAAAGGGAAGATTTTACATGGTCATTTCACACCACCCCATGGACTTGTATGAGAGCACTTTGGGGACACCTTGCAACGGGTATCATTCCTATGCACAAGAAGAGTCATCTCCCAGAGTGACAATGGCGCTGTTCTGAGTAAACACTGGTTGGGCCTGTGTGAGAATCTGTACATATTCTGTTTAGCGGCAGACGAGTCCCATTTTCAGATGCAAATCTTGAAGAATAACCAGTTAAGTAACTTTTGAGATATGAGAAATGAAAGATGAAGGCATGAGAGATGCGGTAAGGGTCCAGACCTCGGGCTGACTCTCCAGCATATGTTTTTACCCCTTGTGCTCTGCCATGGGATATAATGAAACCATTATATTTATACAGAAAGTGTGGCTGAATTTTGGTTTGTTACACAGTATTTTTAGTATAAAGGCAAGTTTAAAGTGACTAAAAGAGGAAAATAAATTGTTATATAAAGAATCAATTGTCTGAAATTCAGCTTAAATGTTTAAAGGTTATTCATTGTATACCTACTACGGGAAGAATAATTTCCAATCTAAGACCAAGTACACTGTTTACCTATAGTAAGCATTAAATAGGCAAGAATTAAAATAAGATATGTTACTAAGAAAAAGTAAAACCACACAGAATCCATATTATAGATTAAAGGAATGTTCCTTCGGGGTAAATCTGAGCTTTTATTTTAGTTCTGCTGTGATAATCCCCTGAAATTGGCTTAATGATTGATAACTTCATAAACAAAGGGTTCTCTATGAAACTCAAATTCCTTTCCCATTTCCAAGGTGATATTATCGTAGTTACAATGTTTTTATGCCTTGATTCTCTATTTGTAAAACACAAATGCAGTCCTTTCTGGTCGTAGAAAAGCAGTTAACTCTTCAGGTTGGAAAGCAGAAGAGCCAGATCCAAGGTAGGGTTAGAAGAGCTCCCTGGGTGATTGAAAAAATAACCCAGTGCTTTTTGACTGTTTTGTAAATGGCTTCTTCCCATGGCAAATAATAGTTGATGACTTGTTCACTCCTTAAAGATTATGTTCAAATAGGTTTAATACTACACAGCTTTGAAAATACTGGGGGATAGAAGAAGTTATTAACTATCAATCGGAGTGTTGATTCTTTCTGGCCCTGATATAAAAGGATTAGAATCAACACTCTTGTCTTACTCATCTGACAAATATTTATTCATTTCTGAGCAAGTTGCTATTTTCAAGACTGCTATGGAATAAGAGCATGTATAAAAAGCATTCCTTAGATTACATCAGTCCGCATCAGAAACAAATATAAACTCATTGTAAGCCAGGAGCATGCATGTACCCTATTCCTGTACTGTCACAGTCACACACCCTCAAGGACCATTAATGTAAACACCAAACTTTGAGCTATAAACAACGCTAGTCCAAAACACAACACACTTGATAAAATAGACCAAATCCTGAAAGGTCAACATGTTGCTTCCTGGAAAAATAAGATTGCTTCAGATCTCTGCTCAGTTACTTCAGGTTATCTTATTAAGACCAAATCCAAAACAGCCCACAGGCAGGCCAGCCGTTACCAAATATAGAGTTAGCAGTTAGAAACCAGAAACAGGAACTGTGAGACACAAGCCCCCTGAAGCCCTAGGGGACTGCTCTGTGCCTGTTACACAGGAAAGACATTTCCTGCTTTCTGAAAGAGAGAGAATGATCTCATGGCTTGAAACCACCTAAAGAAAAAAATTCTTAAGCTTAAGCCAGCCACCAAGAGCAAACTGGTTGACAGGAGACACTGAAGAGTTAGGGGCATTTGAGTTGGTCAGAGTTGACCCCATTTTCATTTTTGGTCCACACTGACATTAATGGCTGCTTCTCTGATTCAGGCATTTAACCCCATGGCAAATGGCCTTCAGGTAAAAATACTCACATGCCAGTCACTGGAAGGTACAGTAGTAAAAATTATGAGTCCAGAGGTTTTCCTTTCTTTTGATAGTGGACTCTGAATTCTTGCTTCTACTTCCTTCCCCACTTCCCATTCACTCTCCCACACTATCCCGGATTTCTAGTCCATCGTTTTCTTTTGCCAAATCTGAATTTAAAGAGAATTAGAAATTCTTACTTAGATTAGCCTGTTGTTTAAGGAAATTCAGAATGCGGATAAAGTAGCAGATAAAGACCTCATCTAAGATATGTTTTGTAAAGGTTCTGTGGACCCGTGACACCTTCTACCTGTGTCTCTGGAGAATATGAAACAAAAATCATTTGATAGTGAAAATAAATTTAAAGAGCAGCCTCTGTCATCTCTGGAGGCATGGTGGTGGGTGCAGTAGAAAAAACGCTTCCAAACTCCTTGTTCTATCTAGTGAAAAAAATATGCCTTAGTTAGGGCTTCCTTGGTATGGTGGTTTATTCAAACCGTTATTTTTGATCTTCCTTAGAACTTTACTTCTTGTCATCTATCACCTTGACAATTTAATGCGCAGTGAATTCCTGGCCATGAGAATAATATATGAATGCCTTTTACCTCACCCTTTTGGGTTTAACACAAGGCATGAATCTAAATGCTTTTCTTAGATCATTGGATGCCATCTAATGCCAGCCAGTGACTAAAGAACATTTCCCTTTATCTCACTATTTTGGATTTTTCTGATTGTGTTGCCTATTGGTTACTTAACAATACATTTTTTTCCTCAGATAACAAAGCACTGACAATGTTGGTGGATTTTTGTTTTTGTTTTTTATGTGAAGCAAATAAGAATTGCCATGTATTTAGTTATTATTGATCCTGGGCTATAAATCTCCAAAACCTGTGTGTAGCTAGATTTCCTATGATATGGGTAGATGTTGTATTTCTAATCAGCACCCTATACTTGGAACCTTCCCAATTTGTTAATTCTATGAGGCAAACATCTACTGTTCCCTTTCTTCCCTAATTTGGTTCCTATCTTT